AAAAAAAAAAAAAAAAAAAAAAAGGCTCCAAGCCCCTTATAGGGGTTGTGTAGTGACATATGCTTTACTCAAACTTAATACATTAAATTCCAGGTCTTCAGCACAGGTTTTCTCCCGAACAGATCGGAATACAAGCATCAAGTGCACTCGCATATATTATCTTTGAGATGATCTTATATCTGGTGACATTGTATATTACAAATACGACAACTAACCTCAAAACTTTGGATTTACTGGCATATTCAGGTTATAAATACACTATCATGATCGGCAGCCTCCTTGCTGGCTTGATACTCAGCAAGACGGGATATTATTGCTGTTTGGTGTACAGCAGTTTTGCTCTGTCTTATTTTCTGGTAAGTTATTGTTGAAATTAACTCATATCTAGATGTTTTTCATTTATTTCCAACTAGCAATGAAACTGTTTTAAATTTTTTTTAATTGTCACATTTTTATGTAGAAAGCACAATGGCATTGAGATAAATAAACTGTTGCTATACATGCAGTTCATTCTACTATTATCAAATAATTGCATTTAAAAAAAATGTATTCTAAACACTCATGTTATAAATACCAAATAAATTTGATATTTCTTGTCCTGAAAAAAAATCTTTGAATATTGAGAAAATAAACAGTCTTAAAAATTGAAATAACAGTATATAGTCCCACAGGATTACATGTAGGAAATTGGTTATAGCAAAAAGGCTGTCCTTGCACCCATCATAGTTGCCAAACCCAATCTTACTATTATATGTAAAACATGTGTATAAAGTCTAAAACAAATTGTATTATATTATATTTCAGGTGAAAACACTTCGACTACAACTCCTTTCAGGTGCGCCAGGACCTGAGCAACCGAGTTACGGTTACCCGGAAGCTTATTCCTCACCTAACCCATATACTGACAACTGGTCCAAACCTACAGCGGGAGGAACCAAACGGAGAGTGTACTTTTTGTTATTTGTAGCTATCACACAGCCGTTACTCTCCTGGTGGTTAACTTACCATCTCATACCAAACCAAGTGGTCAGTCTGCCAACACCAGTACGATAACGATCAAAAATCTTCGTATTAGAGTTTTATATGTCGGGATTCATTTATTATATATTTTTGGATACTGTAAAAACACATTTATTTACTTAAAGCTTACAGATTAAATATATTGGTTTTATCTGATTTCAATTATTACATTAACAAGTATTCTGAGTGCAGTGTCGGATTAAGCCAGCAAGGGGTCTGTAGCAAATCCTGTCAAAGCCCTTGGTTTGCTTTAGTTTAGGGTATTAAATAAAACATTTTTTTTTACTCTGACAGTGGAGCTAGGGGCCCCTAAATTCGAGGGTGGTAGCATTTGCTACTCTTGCTGTAAGGCTAATCCGGCACTGAATAAGTGGAAATTATTTTAAAAATCATGGGTAACATGGAAAGCTTAAACTCCTATAAAGCGTGCTATAGATTCTCAGTTCTGACAGTTTTAACTGAACTGTTAAAACTGTGTGTGTAGGCAAAATTTTACCAATAAGTTGACCTGTACAGTCTTAAAATGTCAATTTGTGAAATAACTGTTAAACGGTACCTTATAACAAAATAACCTAAAATTTAATGTTTTAAAGTGCTACTGTAAAATGGCTCTAGCTTACGTAATTTTTTTTAATACTTATTTTAACGTTTTCAATGTTTAGTTAATTCTATATTCTTAACTGTTCGTAGTATATTGTGTTTTACAGTAACTGAAAGCATTTACTATAATTAATTTATTATATGTTAATTATCTGTACTAATATAAAGAGGAAAGATTAGGCATTTTTGTATTGAAATAACTCAACTACTGGGCCGATTTCAAAGATTCTTTCACCATTAAAAAACTAATCGCTAAGTAACATATGCTATATTTTATACAATTATATATTTTTCACGCGCGCGAAATCGCGAGCAGCAGCTAGTGTTTGATATAACCAAGGCATTTTACTTAATATGTGTTTGAAATTACCATAGTATAGTAGTTATCAAATATCTTAACAGCTCGGAATATAGTATGAGTTTATCTAGTGATGCCCGGTTTACACTTGGCTAGTACAATAGGACAGTTGCGACGGCCAGTAGCAGATTGAATCAAGTCACTGGCGTCAGTAAACTTTAACATTGTGCCAGTTGATTAACAGTCCAGTTATTTTACTGTATTAGATTAGTATGAACGGCGCATTACGCAGTTAGATGTAGCGGCATACAGCGTGGGGAGGACACTGAGCAGCGCAGTGACCTTGAGCTGACAAGATATTTGAAAAGACGTGTACCTAGTACCATAGTGACTAACACTGCAACAAACTTTTTTTTTTTAGTAACAGTCATTTAAGCAAAGACAACTATCGGTTATTAGAATAACGAAAACCCGAAAATTGAATAAATAGCAAAATTGCAATACTCAGAATCGAATAATTGTTTCTAAGCGGGTTGTTATCCCTAAATGATTCTGAGTGTTGCAGTTACAACTTCAAATTGTATTGTATAAAAACTTGAAATGTGGTTTTATTTATGAACAAAATTGTAAAAATCTTTTTCTGTTGCAATTGTAAATATTTCATGTTGCTTGAATTAGATTTAACATAAATGTACATTGGAACTAAAGATTTTTCCCGACTGTTTTCCGCTTATCTATAATATACAATTTTTATACCAATTAATTGCGTTATATTAAAGATAGTTTTATAAGAATAATAGTTGCTTATTTTTCCTTTAAACGAAATTTACTCAATCTTATTACTTTTTACTTAACAGTAAAAAAAAAAAACTAAATATATTATCTTTCACTCGATTTCTACCCAATGTGTTTTATGGCAAGTATATTTTTGGAATACTTATGTTAAAAATATATCCATGGTTGCTAATATTGATCGCCGTATGACCTTTCACTTTTTTACAAAAAGCATTTAGAAAAAGTTTTGCACCTTGACCCAGATTTTAGATGTGTAAGATTACACAGTTTCTGCTCAAATGTTGAGCCAAAGCCAACTAATATACCTACTTATAAAATTCATAATTAGGCTAATAAAAAAAAATACTTATTCCTACATTGAATCAGTGCAGACTATTTACCTAATACTTTAAATCTATATTCTTTTATTTAGTATTAATAAAAACATTCTTGCAAGTCCAATTATATGTACACAAGTTTGTTTTCATGTTATAATAAGAAAAGTATAAAAAGACCGCCTATTTTTAAATTAGAAAAAAAAACCCGCACAAACTGAAGTTAGTTGCGGGTGATTATTAGCTGTCAAATAACCCTGAGTAATTTTATCAATAGTGATGTAGCTACGGTACGTTAATTTTTGAAATGGTAAACTTTTGTAAATAATTTGATTTGAGAATATTTTTTAGTCTAAATAAGTAGTCTAAACTCATACCAATTAGAGTAGAGACCAGGTGAAGTTTTACATACAAATGCGATTTTCAGATTCTACATCGATGTGAAAATTGTCAATGAGTAGTGAATTTAGCATTTTAAGTGTTTAAAATTTTGATATTGTTTTTACGACTCCTGTACAAACGTTTATGTATAAAATTACGAATATAAACTAACTATTTTAATTTTCTGTTGCTTCATTCCGTTCTAAATTTGATAACTATAAAGGTAAGATATCTGAAATGGGAGTAAAAGACGATTCCGTTTTTGTCTACAGTTGGGTTCTTTATATGTTATGTTCGACGAAATGCAAAAATTGGACAAAATACAAAAGTTGAATACAACGTAAAAATACCCATTCTCACATGGAATATACCATAAAGTCGAATTGTTTCACATCACTATAATAATCAGCTGGTAGCTGTCAGAAGACAGTTCTGCCAACATTGCAGGCCGCATTCGCGAATAATTTCACGTTGGCCATGCGCCATACACAACAGCCGCAGAGCAGTATCGACAAACGTTCACATAACATTTAGACGTAATAAATATAGTGTCACTTCTCTCCTTATATTTTAGTATTAGATTATTCAAACTTCAACCCTCTACGTTTTAGTTGTTTAAGTGTTAAGTGTATCTGATAATGTTTGAATAATGCATAGTGCCGCATCCGAATACGCATTCTGAAGCAATTACGTAATGGGAATTATGCTAGAGAAGTTTAGAGTTTTGCCCTGAAATTCAACATGGCCGCTGACACGGGAATGGATACTTGCCCCAGTCCGGAAATTACGGACTCCAGAAAACGACCTCTAGATGGAGATTCAGAAAATGGAGACATCAAAAGATCACATTTTAGCTCGGGTAAGTTGTTAGACATTGATTTCGATAGATATTTATTTCATTGCGTATTTGGCAAGCAGAATTAACATTGACATAGTGTAGCCGACCCTGGTACTAGCTAAGTTCCAATAAGATTCTTATCAGAGCGTAGCGCTGTTATCACTTTGACCTATTTAAGTGATAATAAAGCCATTACGACTGGAATAAGTTGTTAAATTGTATGAAAAGTGAAATAAAATGATAAGAAGCATCGAATTTTATTCAAATAATGTTTTAGCTGTAATTCGTACGCCACGAATTGATAATTTTCGTGTGCTAGGCAAACTTTAATGATGTTTCTGTACCGTTTAGTTAAGCGGCGTATATTATAAGGATTGTTAGATTAATAAATAATAGTTGTTATATTGTATGCAATGTTTAAAGGTGGACGTTGTTTTTTAGTTCAAGACTTGGTGACGGCCTTGCCACTGGCCAACGGCCATGGCAATATAACGTCTCATTTCGGTGAGTCGTCAGCCTGTACATTCGTTTTGCTCCTCATCGGCTTTGTGGTTGTTGGTGGCGCGCACGGCGCATGGCTCACGCGCGCAGAGCTCACGCGCCGCCTGCGCTGCTGTTCACGACTCCCTGAGGGCGGGACCTCTCGGCCCTCCTCGGAGAGTGAGCACGCGGCGTAGGCGGCGCACTCCGTCATGTAAACTCCATAGCACAGCAAAACGCCTCGTTGTCGTGAGCCTCGGTATCTAGCCTCACACCGACCCACTCATGGCTTAGTCGTTGCATCGTTGGTGTGATCATCACTTTAATGTACAGACTTCGTTCATCATTTGGTTTACTGGCAAATTTACTCTTCTCGAAATTTTTTATTTCACATCTGATCGCTTTAATTTGCTTTATTTATTTGAAAGTCATCTAAACTAACAAATGGAAAGATTAACATTATTTGCATTCTCTATGATTTATTAATGTACACAGTAATTAGGTATATAGAGTGGCACCATTTCATTCATTACAATAGGAAAATATAGTAAGTGTTAGAGTTGTAACATAGCTTGTATTCAACATTATGATTCAGGTGATGACATGCAAGGTCATTGTCGAGTCTATTTGTTAGAGATGTGTTCAATTTAAAACTTTATAGAGTAAGGAATAAAGTAGGTAGTGGATTGTTTAGTTTGTGAATAATTCCAAGGTTGTCGGAGGTGGCTAGTTGAATTGTGAGGTCTAGTTTGTTGTTTATATTGTGAAATGAATTTGTATTGTATATTGTATGTACTCTTTTATATTGCTTAGATATTGAGCATGTTATAGATTTAAAATTGAACTGAAAAATATATAAGTCTGTTGTGACTACCTTTTTACATGTATGTTCTGTCCTCTGACTTGAGTGAATATGTCTATCAAGTTACTTTATGTCTATCAAGAATGTACAGTAAATATCTAGATAGGATAAAATGTTATTGGTTGGCACCAAGGATTTCAAGATTGACTTTGACACACTAAAATTCACATAAATATTTGCAATGATTATTTTATTATGTGACAGTAAATTCATTCATGATAATTGACTCAACTCATTCATCATAGGTTAAATTTTGTATTTTTGTGCTGAAAATCTACTTATTTCTCATACAAAAACATAATGTTATTAACACATTATGTTTTTGTATGAGAATGGGATTGTTAGAAGTTAAATGGTTCAACATTGTAGGCTGTAACAACAGAGACAATAAAAAAAATTAACTCAAATAGTTTTAAACAATGTATCTACCTTTAAAAGGGATTTTAACACAGTCGTAATTATTTAATAAACTTAAATACAGATTATTACAATTGCGATTTTGCGGTGAATTTGTTCGAGCGGTGTAAAAATGTGCTCACATCCGTACACGCAATGTTATGACGTAACCAACGTGCGGTCATACCGGCACCAAAGCCTCCAGCTAAATGTCAAGGGAATGATTAACTAAACAAACATCTTTACAAAATTAACACTAATACTTACAAGCAATTTTTTGAGCGCCTATGTTTATGTTGAAACTAGCTTTCGCTCGCGACTCCGTCCGCGTGGAATTAAAAAAAACATAAGTGAGTAGCCTATGTGTTCTTCCAGACTATCCTTTACGTCTATACCAAATTTAATTGAAATCTGTTTAGCCATTTAGTCTACAAACTCTAACAAACATCCATCCATCTAAACTTTCGCATTTATAATATGTTCAAATGAACACTGCAATAGTCCAGTGCCGTTAACTTGCTTGGAGACTTAAAAAAACATCATAAATAAGCATAAATAAGGGAATACGAAATGTTTTTTAAACTAATTGGACTTCACATGGTAAATTATACCAAAAGTTACATTATAACGAGAAATGAAAACATAGATAACATCCATCTTGGGAGTAAAATAACAGAAGTAGTTCAAGTATGTTACGAAAGTTTTGATATGGTTACATACTGCAGTGGTCTAGATTTAGTCAAGTGCGCAATGCGGCTTGAACCATCAAGCTTAAAGATCGACCTTAGGGTTTATCTTGAATACCTATAAGCTAACAGTAATAGCCAAAGGTTAATTTTATTTCATTTGTCTAAAAGAATTTTAACAGTGGTAGAGCCCGCTTTAACATCGTCGCACGAATAGGCCGGCTCGCCCTGTGTGAAGTGGGAGTGATTCCGCGTTTCCTCTGATGAGTGTGGTGCCGGCGGCTTATATTTAATCCCTTTCCACTCTTTTCTTAAGAGGTAAGGATGGGAAGGAAAAGCGGATTTATCGGTGGAGGAAACGCATAGGAAGGGGAAATACCCTCTTTATGTGCGTCTCCTCCACCGTCGTTGTCTATGGGCAACGGTCGCTTCGCCATTTCGGCGGTTGCAGGTGGCCGCTTGCTCGTTTACCACTTTATATTATAAAAAAATTACACTTATGTACAGTCAGCTGCATAAATATCTATAGCAATTTACAATTTTAGAAACTTGTGTACAATTTCAGTTTTAAAAGGAAGCGTACGGATACGAGTATACACATTTTTGAATAAGATGTATACAAGTTACTGTAGCTTTGTAAATGTATACATATTTATGAAGCTGACTGTACAAGATTAGTGGAGCGCGCCTTTGACCATCAAATGTATAATGAATTGAGAGATATTTGCATAAAAACGGTATAGTACGTGACCTACTTTTACTAAGTACAAATTATACCTAACGAATTCAAATAAAACACCCTGAAAATATTATTACAAATATTTTTGATTTTTATATCGTGCCGGTTACCAAACAATTTTCTCAAATCATAAAAGATAGGAAAAAATATGTGTCGATGCCGCTTCGTGATCAAAGCCTCGTGGCGCCTTTGTGCCTTCCGACCCTCCTCTCGGGGGTGGGGAGTCAGCCCCGGAGGGTCGGAAAATGAACAATCTCACTTTGTGCTGAAATTCATGAATCATTGGATCATTTTGCGCAGGTTAGGTGCGGGGTGGGGGAGAGGGGGGAATTATGATATTTAACCCAATTGGGGATTTGATTGCGAATGTAATCTAAGTTTGATTAGTCGAATGTTAAATTGCGTACGTATTTGGTTACACTATTAAATAAATAAAAGTTTATATGCCTACAAAATTTTGTTCATAATTTTTACGCAGACAGATAATAAAAATTATTGTAAGTGATTTGTTATTCTATGTTGTTATTTATTTTTCCCTTCATATTGCTTTGGATATAATTAAAAGCAAACACCTTTTTAATTCCGTTTTAAGTCTGTTCTTGTTTTCGTCGAAAACGTCTGGTAAATGGGCGTGAGCCCATCGGAATTATTTATGACTCGGTAATAGCATAACTTTTACAATAATACAACCAAAATAAACGACAGTTAAAAGTTTAAAATAATGGTCACGGTGTAGCTCTTTAGAAATTGCATAATTATTGATATAAAGTTTTCTATAATTACTTGATTACTGTGCGTTTCCACTACCAAAATTGTACGAAAACAAATCGCTATCTCTGTTTTTTTAAAGAGATTTGAGCGAGATGAATGCTTTTGACTTTTACACAACAACTTACGTGTTTGTGTGCGTTCCGTTATTGCTTTTGATAATGAAATTGTCCGTAATCGAATAATAAATTAAGGTTTTTTATTTGAATTGTATTCCTCCGTTCTAACAACGCTCGTGGGTATAATAGGCTTATCTTTAATTACGATAAACGAGTTTCCTTAATTTCTTCCTTCGGGTAAGATGAACCAACTGATTGGTTTTAAAGCCTCATGTTTGCAATTAATTCGTTTATTTTATAGATTAAGTTATATAGGTTAATTCTGTCTAATGCTGGGTTTCTGAAGTTTCCATTTTATTACCTAGCGATTCATAAGTGTTAGAATTTTATAAGTTTGAACGGAGTAAAATTACGTAGTTGTGTAATGCATTTCATGAAGTTATAAAACAAAGCTAAAGAATGGTTAAATGTAGCTAGGAAACCGACCATAAGTCACGTGATTTCTTTATTCACTGACAGCGCTTTGAGTCGCTGTATTCAAAGAGCTTTGATTTGCAGATGAAATCCGAGTAAAACTAGGCCATGATATGATCTATACTTGAAAACAGTTTTTATATCAGTTTTATTTTAAGGCTCTTATATTAATTTGTTACACTATTTTGTAGAGAATGTAATTATTAATCGATTACGGACAATCATTATCGTTAGGTTGATAACAATTATTAATTTTTATTGTTACTGTACAGAATGATTTATTATTTATGTTACATTGTTGTAGATGAATTTTTTGGTACTTTTATAAAATTTTGATATTAATTTCTTTTGAATTTGGATCGTTGAAGTAGTGAAAGAATGAAGAATGTATGGATTGCGTAAAAATGTTATTTCAGATATGATCGTTCAGATGTATGAAAGAGCAGTAAAGAATAACGATTAAAATTAAACATAAATGAAATTTACAAAATACATCTATTGAATAGTTTTTTTTATTTCGTTTTATCTGACTAAAAAACTAAGAAAGTCGATGTCTGTCCTCGGGGAGAGAACAGAGCTTTAAAAGCTTTTTCTATTACTTTGGTACAGAGTTTGTATGAAACTTATATCGTTTTAACTACTAATCTAGTTAAAAATCAACGATATTCTTTTTCTTCATAGCTCTACAGCCCTTTGTATGCCGTGGCTAGGTTCAGCAACATTTGGGCCTATGTTTTTTTTTATATACCATAAGGTGGCAAACGAGCAAGCGGCCACCTGAATCCGTCATAATGGCGAAGCGACCGCTGCCCATAGACATCCGCAATTGCAGATGCGTTGCCTACCCTTATCCGACAGAGGAGGAGACGCACGTAAAGAGGATATTTCTCCTTCCTATGCATCTCCTCTATCGTCAAGTCCACTTCCCGTTCCCATCCTCTCCTTATAAGAAAAGGGTGGTAAAGAGAAAGGGACTAAAATTAGGCCTCCGGCACCACACTCATCAGACGAAACGCGGATTTGTTTGCATTTCACGCCTG